TCTCCTTATAATGATCGCGAGTGATCTCTTATAAAGAGTGTGAATACGTTTCAATTCGAAAGCGAAAGTGAGTGGACAAACGGAAGTGAGGTCCCGATCGATCGTCAATGCACGAGCTATATTGTTCTTGGCTGACAGTTTCTTCGTTCTTTCGAAATCGCGTTTCGAAATCCCTCGGGAGGCAGACCTCGACGATTGATCGTGGCAATGAATGAGAGATCTTCTTCGAACGCACGAGGCTCGGAGAGTTTCGACGAATCGATGTTTACATCGGATGTTGAACGTAGAAAGGTGTAGCGTGTGTCGTGGATACCACTGGCTGCTGAATTTGTGTCCTTCGAGAAAGCGAGATCTACGTGGAAGTGAAGATCGAACGAGATGAGTTTGAACTGCGAGTAAGAATAATGGTGAGCACCAACCCACCCCTAGGGGTGGCTACGATGAATCGAGGGAGAAACACTTTCCGCGGCGTGCCCAAAGCGGAAATCGAACGCAGGACTAACACCCTGCTACAGGCTATGACGGTGAGTTCACATTCCTCTGATCTAAAATATAAAAATATCAATCTCGATATGTGGAAATACGATTCGAATTTTCGTCGCGCGAAAAGAGAGGAGAACAATGAATGTTCAGTCGGTTAACGATGAATCGGAATATTTGAAAGCGCCGCATCAACAATATCTGTTGGCCTCCAACAATATCGTTGGCTCGATTGAAATATGTCTCAATGTTCCGGCTGAGGAACTTTGAACTGCTGTGAGCGATGCTTCGACAAATGACTTGCAGCTAAAATCTCCTCGCGTGCTTCTTATCAACGCAGGTCTTATGACAGGCAGATGCTACAATTACGCGTGACGTAAACCGATTGCACGCCATTTCTAAATAATTTGGTTCGTAATCGGTAATCGGTTCGTAAACCGATCGAAGGTTATTTAAAAATATTCGCTGCAGGAATAATTTAATACAAAATAGAAGCTTCCGTCAATTTGTTTGATTCGATGGAACTGCGTCTCACTTTGTTAGACCGCGTAACGCTTAGTCACTCGGATCAAGAGTTACTAAATCAGTTTGGGAAATTTGATATTATATCTGCAGATCGAGGAGCTGTACGCCGCTCTGGTGTTCATGATCCAGCACCAAATCGGCTACGACGTTTCCAAGGAGTGTGAGCTGGAAACTCTGTTGAATTACCTTCAGAATGCGTTCAAAGTCGACAACGACGTGCACGAGAGGGTTTTGGACGAGACGAGAAACATGGAGGTAAGCAATCATTACGGCGAATAATTTGCAGAATTGTCACGCATTCGCATATTCACTTCACCACAGCCGCCGGAGATGCATTTGAACGTCGAAGTGATCGAAGCGAAGGAACTGGTGTCGAAGGACGCCAACGGCAAGAGCGATCCATTCTGTGCCCTTTACCTCGAGTCAGCTCCCACGAGGAGATACAACACTGCCGTGAAAACGTCCACGCTCAGCCCCGTGTGGGAGGAACACTTCGAACTGTGAGTGAAAGAGTTGCGTACAGATGAAAGAACGATGGGTAAATAATCGAACGTGATCTCTTCTAGCCCTCTGGAGGACCCGGAAAACGACGTACTGTGTCTAGAAGTCTGGTGAGTTTGAACTGAAAGAGAGAGAGAATTCGAAAAGTTGCGGAATATATCGTCTATTGTTATTTCTCTCGATTCAAGGGATTTCGACGCTGCTGAAACGGTGCCCGAAAAAATGAGCAAGGTGAAGGACGTGAAGGGTGTTCGAGGGCTGGTGAAACTAGCGAAGGAGATCGCAGTCACTGCCACTACTGGCTCTCACGACAACGAATTCATCGGTCGCTGTAGGATACCTCTGAAGGTATGAAATAATTTCCTCTTATTTGTTTAGAAAAACTAGATTGAAGTCAGATCGATGTTTCGAATCCTGTGTCTGTTCTCAGGACATACCGACAACAGGCCACACAATGTGGTACTCGCTCGAGAAGAAGAACAAGTCGAAACGGCGCGGTGTGGTGAAACTAAGGCTGGCCTTCAGCGCGGAGCACAATGCACAAGTGGCCGCGCAAGAGTACCGACACTTGATCAGAGTGCTATTGTTACATGAAATCGAGACTCAGAAGATAGAGAAATATTGTTGGTGTGGCCGATGGTCAGCGCCAGCGGAGGTTCTCCTTCTTCAGCACAGCGCTCAACGGGGCTTGCTCGCCAGGAACGTGACGCTCGCTCAATGGATAGAATACGCGAGAATTCACCAGGAACATCCGTTGAACTTCACCTTGTTCAATAAACTGGCGATCGATCTTCTGAGGCCGATGGAGAATGGCCTTTTCTCGCCGGATGAGACGAAGCTGTTTTGGGACGCTACGAAGAAGCTGTTGTACTCGTGCCTGAACAGTGTTCGCAAGATCAGGAGGCTCGAGGCTGGAGACAAGAACACCATGACGCAGCTGTCCGCAATTCTAGGGTGATTATCGGCAAATGTTCAACACGATTATCGAAATAGGCTGCCGGTATCGCTCGTAATTTCAAGTGAATTTTCTACTAACTTTCTTAGAATACTGTCGTCGATCTCGTCCCTTAAAATGCCTGCAGACTGCAATCTATTCCCCGCGAAGATGTACTCCTGGTTCCCAGACCCTGACGAAGCACCGAGTGTCCTTCAAGCTTTGGAGTACACAGTCGAACAGGGTGGCGTCGAGTGGTAAGCGTTTCCAAGTGGTTCCAAAGACGAAGAATCCGCAATTCCCAGGCAGTGGAAACCGAGCATTTGAACATTTTTCTTTTCACGTTGTCCCAGGTTCGAACATATATTGAACAACAATTTCCCAGAGAGCGAGTCGGACGAGGATGCGTTGAAGCATCACATCAAAATAATTCAGCTGATCAGAGCAGATTTGCAAAATGCCATCGACAATTATGACAAGCTATTTATCAAGTAAGTAAGAATTCGAGATCTTTCGGAGGATATTCAAGAAACGATGATAGAGGTGAAACGACATGGAAATGAAAGTTCTGTTGCAATTTCAGACGGATCAACCTTCCTTACGCAAGATGCCTGTACATGATGTACGAGAAGAGAATCAGCGACATGTGCATGATTATCATAGAAGATATCTGCGGCAGATTGAAGCGGATCGAAATCGAAAACGCCGACGTGGAACTGAATTTGGGGACGACTCTGTTCGAACTGTATCTCGCGTTGCAGAGATACGCTATGTAAGTCGAGTATCATTGGTGCAACTCGAAAAGGGAAAGATCAGCACGTTCGAGTTGTAAAAAGTGTAGA